GCTCCAAGCTGGCTGGCCAGCCACTGTGTTTCCCTTCAGCTGCGCTTGGGATGGCCTCCTGCGAAAGACCTGCTTCAGGGATGGCTGAGGAAGAGATGCTGGGGTAGATCCTCAGCTGGGTTACCCCGAGGTGGCTTCCATCATTTTTCAGTGTCTTATTTTAAAATTCCCATGTCCTTTTCTATTCTCTTCCCTCTCATCCTGCCGCTGCCTTTTCATCCCTCCTGTCATCCTGCTGACCTGCGGGGCCAGTTTTGCTCTCCAGTGCCCGGTGCTGGGCTGGAGACAGGCAGCTCCTTTGAGCTCCCCCCTTCCTATTGCAGAGCTGCGCGTGGTGTCCTCGCGGGGATTTCTGTTGGTGCGGGGCCGTCCTTCCGCTGCGGTGAGGAGACATGATGAGCTCAGCTAAATTGGTGCACCCTGCAGTTTTATTTGGATGGTGCTCACGTTGCCAAGCAGGGAAGCACCTGCAGCAGCGTGTGAAAGCAGCAGTAATATCGACAGCAACCTGAAGCGAATCTGCTCCAGTGGTAAGATAGGGCATGGCAGTAAGACAGCAAAAGGAGGCGAGTGTCCATGAGTGGTTCCTAGTTCAAGTGGTCTCCTAAAGAGATTTCGGAGAGGGCCGGGCAGGGGATGGGCAATGGGCAGCTCCAACACAAGCCGGAGGAGAGAGCGGCTTCGGGGCTCAGACCCTCCCTCCCTGCCCACCGCTGCCTCCTCCTCCTCCCACAGCATGGTGGATGTGCCTTACCCTGCAGGCTGAGAGGGCAGGTGCTCGGAAGGCAGGTGTATGCCATCCACCTGGCTATTCAGCAGATGCGCTGAGCCATGCCTCTGCGAGGGTTTTTGTCTTCTTTTAATGCATGGAGCTTCAGGTAGGCGTAGGAATGGCCGGCTGCACCTTGAGTGCTCTCGCTACAATCCATCCATCGCCAGGCATGGGGGGACTCCTGCCTGCAGACAGCTGCCTGCCTGTGGGGTACCCCACCATCTCACCCGCCCCAGAGACCCTGCAGTGGTGGCAGGGCTGGGTGCTGTTTGTGGCACGTAAAGTCATGTGAGAGCAGCCCAGGAGCTCGTTTCCCTCTCCCCAGCACATTTCTGCAGTTTGCAAGCCCCACCACGCATTACAAAAGGAAGAAAGAGCATCCCCCTGAACATCCACCAAGATAAAGAATATTTTCCCTCTCCTTCAGCCCTTAGGGGTGATCTGCAGGAGGTTTGGGTTGAGCTTGCAGAGCAGTAGTGCCTACAGAGGTGTTACTGTGCTGGGCATGGTGTTTCCAGGCTGAGCCCTGAAGAGCTGTTGCTCCAGCCCCACTCCCTCCAGCCGCAGCACAGGGGCTGTGCTGGGAGCATCCTTGCCTGCAGAACCACCCCCAAATCCCTGTGACACCAGCCAGGCTGCAGAGGAGTATCTGAGGGCAAAGGTTGGGTGGGGAGGAGGTGATGGAAGAAGTCGCAGCGACTTCTGGGACGTGGTTAAGTAATGGCAAGCTGGGGGTGGGCGATGGGGAGGAGTGACCCTATTTCGGGTACGATGCTCAAAAGTGCTCGCAGTTGGAGGGGCTGCTCTGACGGGTGCGAGTGCTTGTAGCTGTGGAGCAGAGTCGTAGCCTGGCTGGACCCTTCATTTGGTGAGCAAAGCTGGCTCATGGGAACAGTGTGGACCTGGGGTCTCCCACTTGTGTGACCACTAAATTCAGCTTTGCTTGCCATGATTGTGTGGGCAGCAGCATCCTCAGCGCTCAGCCTATTTCTCTGACACCCAGTTTTTGCCATCCCCCTGCAGGTGGAGGCGGAGGAGCACCAGGACGTGGTGGTCTATGACCAGAGCACGCGGGACGTGACCGGCTTGGCTGCTGACAGCTTCCTCTCTATCCTCCTGGGCAAACTGGACAGCTGTTTCCACAGCGTCTCCATCCTTACAGGTAAGAGCCCTGGTTTACTGCTGCCCTTGGTGCTCGTGCCCTTAGTCTGGAGTTACGGGCCTGCAGCCACGTGTGTCCATCTGCACCTGCTTTCCTGGCCACCAGTGGCTGTGGCGTCGGAGGGCAGTCCCGCATGCAGACCGAGGAGGTTTGACCCACCCTGGCATTACTGGGTCCCCCCAGTGTATTCATTCCTCACACTGTCCAGCTCCCTGCCACTGTGCCTGCCAGGCAGGGTGAATGAGAGGGGAGGGTATGAAGGGGTCATGGTGTCACGGATCCGGCCACCGAAAAGCGGCCCTTCATTCCCCCATCCTGGCGCTGCTTCATCCCCGGTGAATGCGCCAAGGGCCGGACCCGGTTCAGGTGCTCTGCTCCCTCTCACTGCTCTTAAAGGAAGGTCAGGAGAGGAAATCCATGGATGTGCTGGGACGGGGAAGGAGAGCAGGGGCAGAGGGTCATCCCTGGGCGAGTCAGGGTCTGCTGGAGATGATGCTCTCCAGGTGCAAGTGCACAGGCAGGAGGAGGCACGTGCTGTCATAATTACAGCCCTTCTGCAGAGCAAAATGGGAGGCAGGCGACCGATGAATGAAACGCTCGGACCCAGCAGAGAGGAGGATAAAGAGGCTGCGAGCTGTTGAAGGGAGAGTTAAAGTTGCCTTTAATTCCCCATGGCTGGGACGGCCAGGCGTCTGCCTGGCTAGCTGCCCACCTCCGAGCTTTCTGCCCATGGAAGGGTGGGCAGGCGCTGCCCCACACAGCCCCTTGATCCCGCTGAGCTCAGCCAGGCTCCTAGATAGTGCTGAAAGCACAGAGATGGGGATCATCTCTGTTCCCCAAACCCATCCTCATCCTGCGGAGACTGGGTACTGCTTTGGGGCTGAGGTGGAGGGTACCAACCTCCGTGTTCCCGGGGCATCGCAGGGATGGAGGGAGCGGCCATCCGCACAAACCTGGCAGCATGACAAACCCTGGGGAGGACTAGTTGTGATGGGGAAGGTGGCACAAGCAAGTGGCATTCAGGGAGCCTTGCTCGTGCATGGCATGGGTAAATGCTGTTGAATCAGAGCAGCTGCATTGTGATGGGGAGAACAGAGCAGAGAAATTGCAGGAATAAACCCCCCAGTTTGAGGGTTTCAAAAGCAAGCAGGGACTACATGAAATCACGTTAAACCTAGTTAGCATGGCCCGGGTTGTAGAAGCTCTGCTGAGGGCAGTGCTGGAGGATGCCACCACAAGCTTGTTACAGCAGCCCCCGGCCCGCCCCAGCGGCCGCACCGGTGGCTCCAAGGTCATCGCGGCATAAACAAGGGCAACAGCTTGGCGCACGGTGCAGGAGAAGAAGGCGGATTCGGTTGCATCTGGGAAGGAACCTGCTTAGTCACCGGGATGGGTCAGGAAACAGCCTTCAACCCTGGCACCCTGCAACGCGCCGCCGCTTTCCCAGGGCCGGGCGAGGGGCAGCGCTGTGTGCTGGCTGCAAAGCCCCTGCCCAAGTCCTCCTGGAGCAGGGATGGGGCTGGGTGAGGTGGCCCTGAAAGCCCTGGCACCTTCTCCTCCCTGGGAAGGAGGGGAGGTTTGGGGGACCCCCATAGCACTGGTGCACCCCAACTGCATGCACAGCATGCCTCATGCTGGGTGAGCACCGGCAGTGTGCCACCCCCCCTTGGCCATCAGCGCCACCACTGCTGAGCCCCCCACAAGCAAACCTGCAACCCGCTTGGGCACACACATCCTCCATCTTCAGGGTGGCCATTTCCCTCTCCCTGGGCTGCAGGAGCCCAGACCCCCAAGCAGGGGTGTGGCTGTGCTAGGCACCAAGCAAGGTTTAAACCTCCCTAATTAAAAGCGCTGCAGGGCTACAGACTGATGGAGAACGCGGGCCTCCAGCGGCTGGAAAAAACAGGAATCAAAATGTAGAACACTGGGTCATGGCGGCGGCATTTTACATGGAAATCGTGACTGGAAGCGGCTGTGGAGAGCGTCCGGGGGAGGCTGGGCACGCTTGCCGACACGCGCAGCTTCCTCCTGCCTGCAGTGTGCGCAGCAGCCGGATTGTTTTAGAGGCAGCTCTTAGGAGGTCTGAGGGGCGATGTGTGGGCCGGGCCTGATTCTGACACCTAGCCCTGGTGGGGTTTAACCCCTCAGTCTGTCCGTTCCAGGCTCAGGCACCTCATCCTTCCCCAGCCCATCCGGTGTCCCACAAGAGGTGCCTGGGTCCTCCCTGGAGGTGGCTTGTGACCCCAGTGGGGAGTCAGGCTGGCAAGGGCTGCCAAAATCTCAGGGTCCTGCCCTGAAATCTCAGTCTGTCCCTAAGTGGATGCCAGCATCCCAGGGAGCCCCATTCTGAGGGTCCCCAAAGCCGTATGCCAGCCCTACGCAGCCCCAAAAACTCCTGAGCCCCTCCGTGCTCCCCAGCTCTCGTCAGTCCCAGCAGATGTTTCTCCAGGGGTGACGCGCTGCTGTGCCTAAGTGTCCCCATCTCATGCAAATGCCGTGCTTGGCCATTGCTCGCCTCCAACCCATCGTCCTTCAGACCCTTGAAGCAGCTGGTGGAGGCTGATGGGAGAGGACAGGGGAGCTGGGGTGGCAAGAGCGGCAGCGGGGACCCCTCAAGGGTTAACAGCCCAGAAGCAGTGATTCCAGCGCTGGGAAGGAGGAATCTGAGTCAATTATTCCCAGTCTTGGAAATCATCGGCTTGTCTTCTTTTTCCCCCTTTTTTTTTTTTAATTGTGTAAGTATAAATAGTGCTGCTTGCTGCCCTCCATCCGTGGGAGCAGAAAGCCTGTTGATTTATATGGTTTTCCTGACATCACATGAAGTGGTGGAAAACTGAATGGAGCCAACATTTTTCCTGCATTACGTAATGCCCCCTCCCTCCCTCCCGGCCCAGCTCTGCTATTCCTGCAGGAGCCTGACTGTTCTTTAACCTTTGTTTACTTCAGCACAAACCGTCGCTTTTTTGCTTTTTTTTGGCTATTTTTTGCTTTTTTTTTGCTTTTCTTTTTTTTTTTCTCTTTGCTTTTTTTTTCCCCTTTCTTCTTCCCCTTTGCAAACTCCCGCTTGGTTTTTATTAACAGCCATTATCTGTTTATGAAGCAGCAGCAGCAGTCTGGCTCCATCGCTCCCTGATGGCTCCCGGGTGCCAGCTCTTGTATTGGAGCCCAGCCAGACCCATAGCGTAGTGCTGAGCTCCTGGGTGCTGAGCTTCACCAGCTCCTCTCCATTTGTCCAGCTGCAGTGGAGGGTGGGGAGATATTCCTTTGCTCCCATTCAGGGGCTAAAAGCAATAGCCGAGAGCTTGGGATGTTCATCCAGATGATGCTCAGGCACCCATCCTGTCCCTACTCCTGGTCCTTGGGCCGAGCACCGGGCTCCTCTTCTGCACCCGAAGCCATATGCCAGACGGAGATGAAACTGGGGTGGCTGTTTGGCCAGCAGTGGTGGTCCCCACAGCCCGGACCGCTGGGGTTGGGACCCCCCTTGCAGGGCAGAGGCTCTTTTCATTGTGGTTTCATGCGCCAGGGGAGCTTTATCGTTGCGATATCATGCTCCGACCTGAAACAGGCCCCTCGCTTGCTTTCTGAACTCGAGTCATGAGCTTTTCATCTGGAGGAATCTGAGTCAATTATTCCCAGTCTTGGACATCATCGGCTTTTTTTTTTTTTTCCCCCTTTTTTTTTTTTTTTTTTAATTATAAAAAATGGTGCTTT